TTCTCTTTCGCTTGGTGAGTGCGCTGAACTTCTTTCGCACCGTACGTAGCCAACCGTGCTAATCGGAGGCGTGCGGGAAGGACAACAAACTGAACAAAACAGCAAGCAGCGGTTCTAAAGAAACGAGTGACCACTGTCTCTGTGTCATTGATTGTGTTCATTTACTATCCCCCCGTGTGACCTCGACCAGGGGCAGCTTTGGTTGGCTGGGAAGGCTCTCAAGTTGAAGGATGAAGAAGTCACGAGGACTAGTGTCGTGCATTCCACCGCATCTCGCTATCACTTCCCCTTCCTTCTGCCAAATCCAGCAGCAAGTCACACAGTCAACTTTCCATCACCACGGATGGCCGGTTCTTACAGCCTCCCGCTTTTTACAATACGCTATTATTATCCCGCTTGTTTACCCAGGTCCTGCCAAGCTTTGGCAGTAGCGGGCGATGTCGTTTAGGTGTCATCCCAATTTACAAATGTGCAGGTACAATGTTTAGCTTGAGGGCGTTTGACCAATACCAGTTACATTGCATGGAGTGGTTTTTTTTTGTGTGTTGCTATAGGAGGCATCTGGAAAACCCGGAGGAAATAGATTTAGAATGTACAGACAGATCACACAACCTCCACACCAAAAAGCACCTGAGTCGGGAATCGAACCGAGGTGTGTCTTGTTGTGAGGCATAAGTGTTACCATGCACCCCTATACATTACTCCCTCAGTGGCATTAAAATCACCACCAATTGCACTGATTGCAAAGCCGTAATTATAATATATTGGGGGGGGGGGACACATCCCCCCCCCCAATATATATTACAATTACGGCCTTGCACAGTCGTTTGTGATGTTGCATGCACCACCCACCACCCCCCTCCCCCCCCCCAATATTCAAATATGCTCAAAATGTCCCTCCCAACATATTGCTATCAAATAGACTTCTGTTTATATGATAGTGGTTATGGTTGTACTTTATTAATCCCTAATCTCTGCCGTAACATACAATGAAACAAGAAAAGGTAAAAATGTAAAAACAGAACAATGTAATGCAATACACTAGTAGACATTGTTGTTAAAAATAAAGAAAAAGTCCATCCTATGTGTTAGTGAATTTTTTTAATATTTTAGGCAGGAAATTAGTTTTCAAATTTAGATTTTCTTCTGGGGGGACGGGACCCCAGACCCCCTGGAAGATTTGGTCCCCCCCAATGTTGACTCCATGGCTACGGCCTTGACTGATTGTACAGTACGTGCAAACAGAATTTACATGTGTCGGTAACATACACGCACGTACTGATGTGGCCAAGTTCAGTTTGTAAGCACCTATTCAGGCAGAGCTGGTACATGAGGAGGCGTTGTCGGCTTCTGTCTCGAGAACAAGTGCCGCGGTAGAACGCACTGCAGCAATAAGTCAACCTAAGTGAAGCGCAAACCAAGGTTGGCACTTTCATAAGTAGTATATTTTGGATTAGATTGTGTAGGGATTATGCCGGTTTCTAAATATAGCCCTTAAACCACAATTTAAAAACATCGAGTAGTCACGTGGGCAAATGTGTCAATCGAGTTTGTTTATCGGTAAAACTTTGGAGGAATTTTGCAGAGACAATTTTTTGAGGGAGAAATAATGTGTGCGACAATAATAATAATAACAAAAACTGAAACCTTTTTTTACAAGGATTCATGTCTGCATTAACCACAATACCTGCAGTCAAATGCAAACAAAAAAACATACTATGATAATATATGATGCATTGTCCTTGAAACTGATTGGTCCACACCAAGGGACGGCTTTCTTTTGAGCCTCGACCCAATTGGTGCTCGACCAGATGACGCCAAAAGGCGTAGAGCTCAAAGACAATGCACTATCAAAGTAATGAGGGCTCGGGGTGAGCATCTACATCATCATTAGACCTCCTTTGCCAGTACCAAAATATAATAATAGGGCTTTTCCCCTTTTTGCTGGCAACAAAACTGAAACCTTTTTTTACAAGGATCCATGTCTGCATTAACCACAATACCTGCAGTCAAAATGCAAACAAAAAAAACATACTATGATAATATATGCATATGTGTTGCGACGTTTCGCTGGAGATTCCATTCAGCATCATCAAGGTTAACAACTACCCAGTCACCAGGTTACAACGAACACTCACCCACTGGTTGTGTATGAGGCCATCGCAACTCAAACTGAACTTGCATCGAGGCTCACCATTGGATGCAGTCTCCCTCATGGGTGTGTACAGATACGTAACTTGCATGCGTATACTCCCTGCGTGGCTGGTTGTGCAACGTAGCTGTTATTTCTTTCCCCAATCACAATTAATCGACATCACGCCCCCGACCAGGACCGGGGTTTCCTGCGATTACTCCTATACCATACTTCCAACACGAAATCCCGTAGCCAGATGTGGCTAATGTGGCCTACGTAATCGGAATTACAATCTGATTCTCTCATTCTTCAAACGAATTCGATTAGCCCCATCTGGCGTGTTGACTTTGGATGGAAACAAAAAATGGATCGGCATTCCTCCAATGCCTTTCTTTCCTCTCACTCCGCCCACCCTCTCTCTCAAGCCCAACTCGAGCCCACGGGGTCTCTTTGTTCTGCCTCTCCATCCATCCCTTTGCAAATGTGCATCATCACTGTCAAAACAATCGAAATTCTGAACGTCCATGCCCTCCTTCAAGCACGCTGCATCTCCAGTGCTCTGCTGGATTCTGTCCGGATTAAGTCGTTTATTTTATTGGTCGATCGAATATAAATAAGTCACCTTCGTTGTCCAGATAGCACCCTTGTCAACGCGAGTGTCCGTAAACATATTTCCAAAAAAACAACGTCAACACTCGATTAAACGCGCACCACCTTTGTCCAAGCGCAACAGTGGGATGCGTTGCTACGCTTTGCTCACCGTGCAATAAGCCCGGCATAAACAAAACCAAAAGGTTCAAATGCAAAGGTTCCACGGCTTTCAAATGCCTCGCTCGCCATCATAAAAGCAGCTGCCGCTTTGGCACCTCGTCGTCTGCTCGTGAGTACCGCGGGACGTCTCACCACCGACTCGGGGGCTGCGCAACGGGGAGACGGTAGCCCCCGTGTTTGAGACGTCAACGCGAAACGAGACGTTGGAGCGGCCGCTCCTCGGCGGTGGGCCCTGACCACAGGGGACCGACGGCGTTTTCCAGACCGTGGGACGATCCGTCGACGCCGCCCGTTAATCGAACGCTCAAAATCGGAGAAGGCGTACATCGACGAGGGCGCTTCGTTTGTCGCCGATCATCTCAGGTCCCCTTCTTAGATATGGCGAACTTCTCGCATCGCGGTAGACACGTTCGAGTCCGCTTTGAAAACCCACCTCTTTAAATTGGCCTTGCCTCTTTTAGTTTGGCCTGTTGTCCCTGGTTCTGTTTTTGTTTCCTGCTTTCCACGAGTTGGGTATTGAGAGATCCTAGGATGGAATTCGCAATATACTGTACATCTGAATTATTTCGACTTAAAGCTTTAGTGATTGCAGGAATTCATTTCTTTTTAAGTTTCATTAGATTATATTTAATTATTTTTATCTACGTGACTTTACCGAAAGAACCAAGAATATCAGAATTATTCATATTCTACCTGTCGAAGGCAGGAAACCACCCACCCCCCCCCCAAAAAAAAAAGTCAGCGTAATCAGAATATGCATTTATACTGGAGGAATCCAATGAGCTATGAAGCTCTTTTTTTCCACAACTGATTATAGCGATGACGTCACCAAGCCCCGCCCACACACCTCCCATCTAGCGGCACAACGTGAGTACAAAGGTGATAGTCTCTTCCACGGAGCAAGCACAGTGCACATTTACATTGACGCAACTTAACACCCAAAAAAAAATATCTCGTTTATGAGCAACAGCACTATTCACGTCCACGATATAGCATATGCTACCGACGTCAGAGAGATGATGGACTGAGCCGACCCTGCGCACTGGGATTTGAACTTGCAACATCTTCACTGGGAGTCCACATACGCTCTGACATTTAAGAGAGTCCAACCATTGCGCTTATGAAAGTGGCTCAGTGGCATGCCAGCTTGACCGCTGTGGGACGCATACGAGCGCTGTTGCTCATCCGCATAGCGACGGGAAATCTGAATGAATCCGCGAGACAATTTATTTTTCGGCTTAGCCGATGCGAACATATTCACGTGCGTACGATGGAACAATATGCCCACCAACTCGTAAATAACACAAGCGCACACACACACACACACGCCCAATTGATTTTTTTGCTCAAATGAGCATTGAAGCGGTCATCTGTTTATATTCATTCCACATTCCTATGGCGGGGGGGGGGGGCGAGTTCATCAATGGGACAACCACTCTTGACTTTCCCATAAAATGCTACTCTCTTTATCGACCCCCAGGAAGGATGATGGTCTGAGTAAAACCGCCGTCCAGGATTTGAACCCATAACCCTCTGATTGAGTGCCCGTGGCTCCACGTTAAGCACAACGCAACACCAAACCTGCAGTATAAAATAACACACAAAAAAACGATGAAGTCATTATTACGCATTAAGGGGAATTAATGTTGAATTAGCCTGAATACATAATTCCAACGGGAACAAAATTTAAAAAACGAGTTTATTTAAAGGTGTAGGCTCCTATTTGTGAAGTAATGTGCGCCCGGTGTGGTCAAATGCATTACACTGAATTTATAAGATGTGCATTACCTATACGTATACGTTTGGTAAATTGCGCGTGTGTGTGTATGTGCGCACGCTCCTATTCCTGCAGAAATGAGCGAATATTGACAAATGTGGTCTCGTAGGACAATGAAATTGGTTGGTTGGCCTTAGACCTTTGGCAGAATAAATTGATTGCATGGCAAGGTATGGAGCTAACAAACTTAAAATATTATGACGAAGCACTTCACGTCCCATTACAGTGCCAATTTTGTGTAAATCAACCGATAATCAGAGCGGTTTGATTATTTTCTATTTTTTTTGCAAGTCACATTCTAAGAATGGTGTTGGCTGTCCCTGATCCATCGCTGAACACTCCACATTAGCCTGGCGGGGTCAAGTCCATATATAAAACAATTTCTATTCACTTTTCCACATTGTGGTACTCTCGATTTTATCGACCCCTGACAGGTAAATTGAACTCGCCACCTGAGCACATTGCCTGTTTGCTCATGTCAGAGATATAAGAAGAAGAAAATAGCTATAGTAATATAATGGATAACATAATAAAAATAATAACGGTTGTTTAATTATTATTTTTATAAACTCAGAGTGAGCGACGAAGGCCTTGTTTCGAGACGACAAGAGCTATGAAAGACGCACACGCATACAGACACGTGTGTGTGTGTGATGGCCAAGCTGAGCTAAAATATTCACCAACAGGGGGCCAACCTCGCAGACATTCAGCCTTTCTCCCGAGCCTCGTGGAATTATAAAAAGTCATATTTCTCCAACAACTATAAATTGCTTGGGCAATAGAGGAGCGCGTATAAACGTGTGTGTGTGTTCGCGTGCGCGGTACTGCGTGTGCATTGTATACTGCTCGCCAGTAAGTAGCGTGCATTATGGAATAAGTGAGTGAATGAAGGGGATAGTTTGCTTATTTTTCATTATTTATTTCACGATGCGCTTTGCAATCCCTTAAACTCCGCCCTAACACGCCATCCTCTCTCCTCCCTCCTTCCCCCTCTCCCTCCCTTTTCTCTCTTATTCTCTCCAACCATACCATCCCATCTCACCCCGACACCACCACCCACTCAACCCCCCCCCGCCTCATCATCCATCTCAGACAGCGGCGCCTGCCTTCATTCCCCATCCTTTCGCTCGCATTCCGATAAAAGCGACCCGGCGCTAGGCGCGAGGTGTCCTGCTATATCGTGATCGCGCACGCACACTATCGTCTCCCACACACAGTCGCATACACACACACATGTGCGCGCACATTCAATTGACAGACGGGACGCACGCATGTGTAATAGTGATGATGATCGTTATTAGTCGTTGTGCTCCGATCAGCACCTTGGAGAGCGGCGCCTTTTGAGCGCAGCATCGCAGCCGTTTCGCCTTCCGCGCGTGCTTCGGTTGGTGTTGTTCTCTTGTTGGACCGAGGCGCTGCAAACACGGACGGTGGCGGTCCGTGGAGTGGACAGAGAGCAGCGCGGGCAAGGATCAGACTCCAACGGAGCCAAGGTGGAGTGAGTGGCGGCGACGAAACGAGAGGGAGCCGCGGCACAGAGACGGGAGACGTCGCAAGGCAGGCGGCGAGAGGCGCGACGGCACGGAGAGGGGAGGTGGTCGGAGGCGAATCAGAAGACGCAGAGAGCCGAGAGAAGAAGGGAAACGCAGGAAGAATTCTGCGAAAGAATCTGCCCGCACTCAAGGATTGAGATCGAGTTTCATCCAACACTTGTTTCGCAATTAGCGCAGCGGCAGCGGCAGCCCCTCGGCTCTTCTCGCTTTCCGAGCTGCGATCGAGGGTCGCTCGCCAAGCACAGAGAGAGAGAGAGAGATGGGACACTAGTGTCGCAAAGCACATAGCCTTGCTCTCCTTTCTGCAGGAGGATCTCTCGCTTCCTCTCTCTCTCTCGCTCTCTCGCTCTCTCGTCCGCACGGGGTCTGTGCGCCGATCACGCCACCCCCACACAACGACTCCAAGCCGCGCTCCCGTCCAAGTCTCGCCTCGCCCCCGCGTGTCACCGGGTCCCGTCTGGTTACTGCTGCTGCCGCTGCTCCTGCCGCTCGCTGCTAGCGCCATGCTCTGTGGAGAGCGAGTGGCCCCGTGGGCGGCCGCCGGCCTCTTGTACCTCGCCTCCCTGAGTCTCCTCGCGGTCGCCGTCCTTTGCCAAGGGGCGCTCGCCCACGCCGGCGGCGGCGGAGTGACGGCCCATCAACAGCGGCACGTCCGGGCAGGTGAGACGCGGAGGAGAGAGAGCGAGCGAGAGGGAGGGAGACCGAGAGGTTCACACACCTGGGAGGGGGTTACCGAGTGGGGAGGGGGGGGCAGGCGTGGGGGGCAGTGGGGGGCAGGCAGAGCGCAGGGATCCCTCTCTGACCCCCCCCCTCCACAAATAAGGGGGGCGATCGTGGGTGACTTTATTGCAACCTTCATGACAGTCGCCTTATCTGATATCCAGCCACGTTGTGTTAATTGTGCAAAGGCAGGCTGATTGTATTGCACGCCTATCTCGTCCGCACAATGAACGCGTGTGTTGTTTACAACAACAATGCTCTGTCGACTGTCGGTGTCCAATGCCTAGCAGAGTACTGTACACTGTGTTGCGACGATGCGCTGGGATGTTTGTTGCGTGCGTCTTGGCACGGCTTTGCAAGGCGTGTAAGGCAAGAAGACCCTTTGATTGTTTGATCTTCGACGGTGTGTTTGGTGATCGCGGCGTCTCTGCACGCCGGCGATAGAACCCCCCCCCCACCCACCCACCCTCCCGTTTGACTTGCTCGGACTCGTGTGGCTACAACTCAATGATGCACTGCAGTATGTTTATATATGAAGCCCTACAACGGCTGCGTTGGGTTGTGTGAACGTGAATCGTCCGTGAGCGTATCGCCAGTTGCACAATCCGTGTTTGAAACAAACTAAAACCGCACTTGCGATGTTGCACCAAGATTCGGCGCGTGTACCAAGTTGCCGCGACATTTTATATATATATACACACACACAATGGTCGCTTTCAAATTGCACAGGGGTATTCGCACGTGGCAAGTGTACACTGGAATGTACTGTACACGCATTGCATACGTATGAATGAGCGTTCCATATGGCCTGTGATTGAATGTGCGTTCGGAGAGAGCGCGTGTTTTGTCTGTTGCTGTACGATCGCGTGCGCTCTGGCAAGCCTCCTTCGAAGTGGTGTCGCAGTCACAATGAAACCGACCGCGATACGAATTGTGAATCCACGCAATGAGAACGCCGCACATTGGTGTCCCCGTGTGCATGCTACGTGAATTGTGTCGTCCGTCCGCGAACGTTTTCTGCGGTATGGTTATGCATGCGTGGCGGCAGGCAAACTTTGATGAAGATGCTGAACGTGAACATTTGATGAACACGGCAAATGTGATGATACTGTGTCCAAAAATAATTCACCTCTAGAGGAGTATATCCACGTCGCTGCCTACAAGCAAGCCCGAGTGTACACAAGAAAAAAAAACACTCAAATACAGCTTGGCTGCTTTTAATCAGCCCGCGTGCGAATTTAACCGTGAATTGCTTCCTTAAAGAAAGTGTTCATTGAGACGATGTTGGTGGTGCAGAGTGGATAAAAGGGTAGAGCGTGAATGTTGGATCGTGACTCCGTTGACGCCGGGACAATTTACAACTGAACCGATGCACAAAAATAAAACCACTGGCGATGCTCAGTGCGGTGTTCGACTCACTCTCGAGTCATTTGCCAGTCTATATAACATTATATACTGCACCGCACAGGCACTGATGTATCTACAACCGGACCTTAATGCATTGCACGTGATGGCGATACGATGTGAACCCCCCACTTACATTATTAAAGTCAACGTGTCCCTACGTTCACATGACCATCGGGCGATGCTCATCTCCGTTGACAGCACTGAGCCAATGGTTGGACATTCCACATTCCCATGTCACAGAGCAGTCCATCAATATCGCTCGGCTTACATATTCGCACAAAACGCTCGTACTTATTTTAGCACTCCGAATGGACGACGATGATCTGGGTCATCGTCATTGCCGCATCCGAGGACATCACTGAAATAATTGTTATCATTAATGATGTGGCAAGTTAGCTAGTGGCTTGGTGTTCTAAGGATCCACTGGCAAGGATGTTGTCTGTGTAGTTTGCTTATCTAATTATGCCTTGGGCCGAACGCGCATGCGATACACACACGAATGCTCATGTAATACACCGAACAATTGCTAACACCCCGTAACAAGCACGAACCAAACCATCGGCACAACATAAAACGCTGATCGTAATCAGCAAGCACTACCGGCAATGTACGAAATGCACCACCGCTGGTATTTAATCATTTCTGGCTGCAAGACATCGCAATGCCGGCCGTGTCAAAGCGAGCTCTCCCGATTATGAAGGATAAAGAACACCACACTTATTTTCCCCTGCAATCTGTCGACTCGAATGCTGTCGGTGAGGTTGGACGGGGGGGGGGGGGGTGTTAGTGGATCACGTATAGATGGAGCCAGAGACACTCACCCACCTGCAGCGTCAAAGAAGCCGGTGCAGATGATACCTACAGGGGGCAGTACAGCAAGTAGGTGTCTGCAGGTGGCTGTGTCTGTTCGTCAACGTTCGCATGGGTTCCCTCCTCGTACGCATGGGTTTTCGAAGGTGGCTTGTGTTCATCTTTTTTTTTACACGCAACAACAATTAATCCTTTGCATGCACTATGCAGCCATGCAATGCGAGTTATATACTCAACACGTTTGTCGATGCATATAGTAGGTGACGTTTCTCGCGATGGGCCTTATTCACAGCAGAGAGAGATATTGTGTCACCTAACAAATGTGAACCCACTATCCACCCTGCAGTGGTGCTCTCTCTCTCTCTCTCTATCTTCCTCTATCCACGATCTTCATACATATTATTTCCTTTTGGAGCAGTGTTATTAACCAATGCGTTCGGTCTTTGTGCTGGTGCAACACTGTCAAGGCAGTGCCACAATAACACGCGATGTTTAGTTATGCATGCGGGGCTATGGGAGGCTGCTGAATAATAGCCTTGAGACTCCGCGAGGCTATCTTGTGTGTAAAAAAAAAACACAAAAACTCTCCACCAAGCGATGCAGTGGATCCCTTGAAAAACATCTCACCAACTATAACCTGGCTTCGATTCCTGAAGAAAGCCCGTTAATAGAGTACATTGTTGAACTCGGTTCTGGAATCCGCCGTTGTCACTCTGTCACTGTCGTCATCATCATCACAATACATGGTAAATCCACTGTTGGATGAAGCCCTCTTGTCGAGCCACCGTTATCTACCCGGCGATGTTGGATTCCTGCCCAGCTCGTGCCACACGAGCCGATTCAATCGCTCCATCTCCCTCCCGGCTGTCCCCCGGGGGTGCGAACCTTCTCGGGCACGTTCCGTTCTTTGACCCGCCACTCCCTCGCTACCGTGGAACCGTCGGCCATCCGTCACCATCCAGCGACGCGTCCTGGTTCAAGCCCCACGCATTTTTTTTTGGTCTGAACGGTTGCAATCAAAGTCTTCAAAACCTGCGTGAGATGTCCAATCCACGCGTTCCTCCGTTCTGTCTCTCAATGTAATTCCAGACGTGGAGGTGTCCCGCTGTTTTGGCTGCGTAAACGAATAGCCTATGCGAATGTACGAGCGAATCTCTGAAAAGGTGGGGCACAGAGTGGGTATGCATCGTATTCAACAACATTGTTTAGCGTCACAGTGTTGGATTTCCACAGCATGTGCTGGCAAAATATGGTCTAGTAATACTGCACTGTGTGTGGCAGAACGGTGACGCAGTGGTTAGCACATCCACGCTATGAACACGACCACATGGAGTTAGATTTCGGGAAAAGGATTGTAAGACAAATAGTTTGACGGTGATATTTGAGCGGTTCTCAAGGTCATTCCTCATCAACCCGCACTGACCAACGTGGTGAAGTATGGTCAGATAACGGTCATGACGCACGCGGCTTTCATCCAGCTGTGAAGAGCCGAATTTTTTTTTTCCCCCATACTTTCATAGCACACATATGTATGAAAACTTATCATCGACATTATCATTTCTGTGTTGGACGTTCTTTCAGTACGGCAGGTAGGTGAGTAATCCATAATTACATATCATTCCCTCGTCGCATTTTTCCACACCCTGACGAATGTAGTCTTTCACTCTGCACATCAAAATGCGTCCCGGGTTGATCCATATTCATGCACCGATTATTTGGTGAGCACGCTGCTGCTGCTGATGATGCTTTGGCAGTGATGACATCGGTCAATAACACATTGACCTTAAACGGACAATATATAATTGATGTGCGACGTTTCGGACAATGGCCCTTCTTCACAGCACATTGCACATGACGTGGCCCACCTTCATTGCACATCAGGTGCTATGAAGGTGGGCCAGAAATGCCACCTACTAAGATTGTTTCCCCTTTTAAGGCCACCGTAGTATTGACACGTTGCATGGTTTTTCGTATCCATGCGCATGGCATTGATGCTGCAGGAGTGTCAGTGGCTCTTATAATTGGTGTAAACATTCCATGACCAACGCTCTGCGACTCTCACAAGTCAAGGCTGTTGCGGCAAGTGCTGTTAGCGAGCAACTATGAAGGCCGGCACGGCACACGAGGTGGTGTGTGGCCAACACCTCGCCCGGCCGCCTTTGTCTCCCTAGCGGCGATGTTTACACACAGCACAAAGTACTAATTTTATGCTGGGTCGACCTAAGGGAGGTCCAGGACCTGTTCTGATACAATAATCGTTACTGGTGTTGTGCGTGATCGGGAATCGAACTCGGGTCCGCCGGGTTCGTAGTTCAGCGCGCTAACCGCTACACTACCGCTCCATCCCCACACACACACACACCGCTCAATCACACCAGCCGTGTCGCATAATTCATGTTTATCTCGCTTGTGCTTCTGTGTATATGTGCGAGTGCTGTGGTGTGCCGTGCCGCCCTTCATAGGTGCTCGCTAACGTCACTTGCTCCGACAGGCCGTTAAGGCTACACGGGCGATCTGCGTCTTTGTGTTTTCGTGGTTGTGGAGAGCGGTGGCACAGTGATCCGTGCACTCCGCTACGAAACCGGCGACCCGAGTTCAATCCCACTCACGACCCACGACAACAGTGAACCGGTCCTGGGCTCGGCCTCGAATGACTTACCTGGTGCGGTGTACAGACATCAGCAATGGGGAGACAAAGGCGGCCGGGTGCGGTGCTGGCCATA